ACAAACAGCCTAGAAAAAACACAACCAAATACAGAAATGTAATAGTTTTGTTTTTAAGATGTCCACCTGAGCTTTTTGTCGCCTTCTCACTACAATGAACGTGTATTGAATTTTGTTTGTGGTGGGCAGTTTTCTGTGGAACAAACAAAGACACTCTGCTCAGTGTGTTTTGTGGATTATCAGTAACAGGAATGCTGTTTCTTAAAGGACACACTGATGTTGAATATTTGAGCTCCATAACCAACATTGATTTCAGCGCTATTGCATTTTATGCAGGCGGAAACATCAGATGGCTATCTGATGCACAGACTAATAAAACTATGTCCGTGCGTGTCTGGGTGCCATTGGGGTCAAATGAGAGAGATTTATGTGTTTTGTAATTTAGGTGAAATGACCCTTTAAATAGCATAATAAGTTTTGAAATGCACTTGAGAAAATCTGCTGCTGCACAGGTATGTGTGACACTGTGAAAGATTGCCTTGTTTGAGTTGGGGCTGGGACATGGTCAGCAGTGAAAAATGAGCTGGGCTGTCAATCCACATCTCCACCTTTGGCAGAGATGTGGATTGACAGCCGGGACAAAAATCAATAGAATATGAGGCACAGTAGTTGAAATTATTCATGCAGAATGCAGATTCTTAGTTGTTTCATCCCACACAACAACAAAATGCTGTAGAACTGCACATTTTTAGAAGATGAAAAGAAAACATTTGTGTATGAAGCTGATCAGTAAGCAGTTTGAACATGTGTGTCTGTAGAGCACAGGCTTTACATTGATACTGACGCTTGAAAATGAGACAAATCTAGTGATTGTCATGCTTTTTTCTATATATCCTTTTCAAACCATCTCTAGCTACTGTTTAACCCGGGAGTGCTTTGGACCTCCTGCAGAGATGAGGAGGGGGGATGTGTGTGTTTCTGGATACTTTCTGTGTGAGAGTGAGAGAAAGTGAGTAGGAGAGGGCGGGAGAGGCCATCTGCATGAGGAGCCTCATTACCAGACGTGTCAACCAGGCATGCTCTCTATCAGCAACTGAGCTCAGAGAGACACTGGGAGATAATCAGAAAGGAGGAGGAGGAGGGCTGAAATAGAGAGGAAGGAGGAGGGCACATTCAAGAGTTCTGAGGTATTGTTAGGGAAACTAGCAATAGAGGAACAGATGGGTGAAACTGGTGGACAGAGGGTTCAGAGTGCACGAGAGGATGAGGTTTAGGCAGAAGATACAGTAGTGAGGGATGGATAGTATACACAAATAGAGAGAGGTAGATTTAAACTGGGTCCCTTGTGGTTGGTTGTGCAGAAAGACCCTGCAGCCATTTGATCAGACTTTTCTGGTTAATAAACCAGGCTGAAGCAGTTAGAAAAATGTGACACAGTTTGTTTCTGTGCATGATTACGACTGAACAATATTTGAATCTAAATGCGATACCAATTTTTTCTTTGTCAAGCAACAGAAGCAGAAACAGAAGTTTAAACTCATTTGTTTCTCATTTAGTAATGAATACAAAATGTTCTAAAGTAGTACTTAAGATTTGCACTGGTGTTGTCATGGGTAAGTCCTAGATTAAGCAAAATGCACCAAACAGGTTTAAGCCTCCACATGTGAGGAATTGATGCTCACTTCATTGCTTCTCACCTTTGCTGGTATTAATCTGTAAATATTAGACTGAAAGATAAGGCCATAAAAGTCAAGTACTATCAGCAGCATACATAGTTTGCACAGTAAGAACTGTGTTTGCTCCTGTTTAGACGTTTTCATATACAGTACATTGGTACGATTTTAACTGCAATATACTGCAACTCTGACTTTCTGTCACATGAGAGGCAGTGTGATGCATGATAGTGGAGAAATAAGCCAAACAACAATATCAATAAAAGCTGGTAAAATGTCAAGGATGTGGCTGTCACTGGGGAAAATTGGAAAAGTTCTGAGAAGTTGCCAGAAAAGTTGCCT